TTATGAAACATCACTTCAATTTATTTAGTTTTCTACCTTACTTCAGTGAAGTAAAAATGTATATATCTCTTACTGTTCCTGAAGACTGGTCCATAAATATAGTATAGATTATGTTAAAAAAACACATAATTAAAAAATTCACATGGAAAACAGTTCACATTGTCTTCTGAAAAGCATTCAGTATCTTGCTATTAAAATTGGAGCCTGCTAAATTCAAACTCAGCTTCATTCTATTAATTATCTTGGGCCTTGGGCAAAAAATTATTTAACTTTCACACTTCCTTGAATGCTCTAATCAAAGAGCAAAACCCATCTCTAGACTCTCCTCCTCTCATGCCCACAAGACAAATGAGCAGGTTTAGGAAAAAAGGAGAAAACCAATGTAATCAATTAAATGTTAAACAGTTCCAGGACTCAATGCCTGAGCCGTTGACCAATGACCCAAATAAATTTGGGACACACACTTTTCCATCCCAAAGCTATCTGCATAAAGGGAGGCTCATAACCTCCACATCACCCGCATCACGACACACCATCCTATCACTGAATAATAGAAGACAAACGCTGACCTAGTTTAGAAGTGCAGATGAAAAGAAAATGAAAACAGGATACATGACAACGGCAAGGAAACCATGGTAACTAGCAGACAGAACTGTTTTGCTTACTTTATTTTGGTCAGAATAATCAGCAAGCTGAGCCTTTAGCTCTGTAATCTCAGTCTCCAGCAGACGGATCACTTCTTCATAGTCCATTTCCATTCCGTGCGCCTGTCTCTGTGCAGCTTCGGCGAGATGAATCCGACTGCGCAGGGCTCTTGTTTCTTCGACTACAGCTTTGGCTTCCTAAAGATTTCAAAATTAATACTATTGGAAAAAGTAACACCTAAAAATAGTGCAGTGGTTTAAACAAAGTATCCTTCTCCTCCTGGAAGTCAGAATTCCAAAAATCAATCAATATACGTATGTTTCTCACATCTCAATTTGAAAACTAATATTCATGTTCCTTAATAATCTATAGGAGCTCCCCGATCTTTCTTTTCTGTTTTTGATTTCTCAGGTAATTTTCAGTATGGAACCTCCAACATTACACACCTAGCATAGCATTTTGAAAATAGGAGAAGTAGAAGAGAAATGAAAAGTGGAAAATAAAAGAATAAGAATTGGTTCAAAAGACCAGAAGAATAGCCTTCCACAAAAGTCAAGTAGGTGACAGGGCTCATGTTCTAGGAAGGTTCTTGCAGCTTCAGGAGATACTGCTAAGAGATTTACAGCATTGAGGACTTCTCCATGGTCCAAGCCCCAGGAGTCAAAGTTTACTTCGAGACGTCAGTCTAACTGCTACTTCTCCATTTTGGTTTAAGCCAAAAGGTAAAATTCATCACCAAAATATATAGCTATTTGTATAGGATGCAATGCTCACAAGACACTTGTTAAACACATGTTACTTCTCAGGTAACTTATACATGTTTTCCCATTTAAACTTTATAACAACACTGAGAGAAAGGCATTGTTATAAGCCATTTTATACATAATCAAGCAGAGGCACAGAGAGGTTACATAACCTATCCAAGGACGTGTACTAGTGCTGGGATTAAAACCCAGCTCTACCCGACTCCAACCTTATTGTCCATTTCACCATTTTACTTTGCTGCTAGATGACAAATGAAAACAAAACAAAACTGCATCCTAGCTACATTCTCCACCTTAGGAAGGGGATGGGGTGGCCAAAATCACTTGCTCTCTCAAAAATGTGCCTTAGTGCTGGTCAATAAGAGTCCCCCAGGACACCAACATTATTTAAAATGGTGGTTATTATACTGTAAACCACTTCTTTTTCTTTACTTGATGCAGAAATCTCTTTTCTCTGCAATGGAACTTTCTGCTCCAATTGCCATGGCTAACATTCAACTACAGCTATTTTAATTTTCTCGGAACTATTATAGGACACTTGCTTTTGCTGGAGCCTAAGGGAGGGTTAGGAATATGAACATATTTTTAAGAGTCAATTTTTCATCCATACATTCAATAACTATTAAGTATTTATTATGTGTCAGGGTCTCTTTCAAGTACTGAGGATAGAACACCTAACAAAACAGACAAAAAAGTCCTTTTGCCCCCCCCCCCCCGAGTTTACAATCTAGTTTGGGAAGACAGATAGTAAATTAGGGACTGTCAATGAAGATCTCATTGAGAAAATGTTTAATCAGAGGAGGTATTTTCTGGGCAAAGGGGGCTGAGGGAACAGTTTGTGCAAAGGCCCTGAGGCAGTACCTTGTGTCTTCAGAGAATAGCAAGGAAGCCAGGGTGGCAGAAGTAGAGAGCAGTAGGGGACAAAAAGAAGGACATGAGGGCAAAGTGGTCACGGGACTTTGGGCAGGGATCACGTTGTAGTGGCGGGGCAGACCTTAAGAGGCTTTGTAGGCCATTGTAAGAACTTTGATTTTACTCAGGGTGAGATGGGAAGTGACTGGAGAGTCTGAGAAGAGAAGTGATATGATCTGACTTCAATTTTAAGTGGATTACTTTTGCTGCTGTGTTGACAGTAGACAACTCATCACAGGGTTGGATAAGCGTGGGACAGGGAGAAGAGGAAGGGGACAGGCAAAAAGGGATTTGGCTTGGACAAGAGTGACGGTGGTGGAAATGGTGTGAAGTGGTTAGATTCTAAATGTAGTTTGAAGGGAGAACAAACAGGAGAGTTCATCTTCAGGAATAACTTTACTTAGCACCTACTGCATCCAGACAAGCATGCTATGTGATTAAAAAATACAAAGGGGAAAAAGCAAAAAATCGTTTCCCTTTTCTGGTTCAGCTTGGAACATTCAATATGACTTAGATAAGTGGAGGAAGAGGGCAGGACATGTTCCACAAAACAGACAATGTGGGCAAACGAAGAGGGACAAGAAGGAATCTGAATGTGGTGCATCTGAGAGATGACAACTGATCACTTCTGACTGGAGTAGATGCTTCCAATAGGGGAGCAATGGGTAAAAAAAGATTGGAGAGAGGGAGGGAAAGGGCTGGGCTCTGTTAGAAATCATGTAACAGGCAAAGGTGCTTGGATCTGGGGAAGTTTTGAAGCCCGAGCAGAAACTGATGAAGACACAGTGCTTTAGAAAGCTAAATTCAGCAGGAGGTGCAGGATGGAGAGATGTGGCCAACCAACTGCCTGCTATACCCTTGATTCAAGTAACTTTATTTCCTTATTTTTTTTAAAGTAATAATAAAAGGTATCTTTAGAAAGAAATACCTAAGGAAATAAAGGACATCTACTTAGCTACCCCATCAGCCAGTCCAGCCCAGGTGATCAAGGGTCACCAGTGTCACCGCTGACTGACCTGACATTAGACTGTTGCTGTGCATAGAGGAGGTAATGGGTTAGGATATGTGGACGCGGCTCTAAATGTTCCACGTGGATCAACTTAGATAATCCACCCCAAGCTGTGTGAGGTATGTCTATTAGTATCCTTTTTAACAGAGAGGCAACTGAAAGGTTAAGTAACTTGCTCAGAATCACAAAGCTAGTAAGTGGCTGAGCTAGGATTTGAATCCAGGCAGTCAAACTACAAAGTTCATGGTCTTGGCTACCAACTACAGAAAATGTTAAAAAAAAAAAAAAAAAACACTTGTAGGTGAGCTTCTCATCAGTGCCCAGCCCCGTGTGAGCTTAGAATGTGGCCATTACAGTATATTCAAACACCGCTGAGCCTGTTACACTGTTCCCCATTTTCCATTCAATCAAGCTTGGAAAAAAAAAAAACTGCCACTGAAGAGAAAGAGGAGGGGCAGAGAATTCTTCATAGCTGCAATGAAGAATAACTAATTCGATGATTTGTCTCCTTCACACTCACTCCATGCAGCTTTTATTCCTCTATAAAAACAGCACTTTTATTTTTGTTCAAAGAATGCTAGTTAATTAAATGAAGAGTCTGGATGGAATTTATATAGCAATTATAGTGCACTGATGGTAATACGGTGTGAAATGCAGTTGGGTGGTAAAAAGATGCAGAGGTTTTGATGCTGAATAAATTCATGCTATTTCTTTTGTAAATGTATAACTGTCAGGTTGGTAAATGTGACCCCTTAGCAAAGTTCTAGCCCAATTCCCACTGAATGGCTGTTTAAAAGATTAGTGCGTTGAAATGACGACTCTTAGAGGAAGCAGTAAAGAAAAGAGAGCAGCAGTGTGCCGTTCTTAGCAATACAGGGTCACATAAATCCATTTTTTTCTTTTCCTCCTGGGCTGTCTTCTAATAACTGCAAAGCCTCCTGTGTCAGGAACAATTGAGTCAGAATTTCCCCGGTACCTCACCACAAGCCTGAAATCCCATCAGGGTAAGTGTGGCAGCCAGTTTACTGATTTACTTTGTATTAGGTAGAGATTAATTCAGTTTAGAAAATAAATGAGAAACTAAGAGGTAATATTAAATCAGAAAAATCAACATAAGCGTTATGCTTTTTAATACTAAGCTATATGAGCAAATGTACTTGAAGAGAATCCTGAGTCATGACCTAACTTTTTTTTAGTGATACTGAGGAAGCGCCTTCCACTCACACTGTCCCACTGCAAAATGAGGATTTTCCACCTCACGATTTCACAATGAGTCTTCAGGGAAGAGCAGAACAAATTCTTCTTTGAAAGTGTAATTCAAACTAATGAACATCTTTGTAGGCTACAAATACTTTGAATTTAGCTATGTGATTGTGCTGAGACAAAGGGCAGTACAAACTCAAACAGCATAAGCTTGGACAAAAGACAATATGCTGTTTTTCCAAGTACAGCACATCCCCCCCCTTAAGACACTAACATGACACAGAATAAAAAACATGGGCATTAGACGAGATACATGGATATAAGGTTAGAATCTTAGACCTGTGATTTTTTTTTCATTTTTTGGCAGCATAATTCTCTAAGATTCAGTTTGTCCATTCATACAATGATAAATAATAACACCTACTTTATAAGATCAAATAACTCTCACAAGAGGGTTAAAGAAACCATGAAGGTTCTCAGTACAGTTGTTCCCCATTCCTCTTTACTGCTTTTGAAACACACACGTAATCACCTGTGTGATTAGAGGCCTAGACTAGATCAAATAATTGAGGGCTTCCTTGAGGTACTCAAATAGTAATACCAGTTATTGAACTTTAGAGAAGTTGTTTGCAAATATCATATGCACATGTCTATTTTAACATTAGCAACAATTATGTAAAACTGCTCCTTCTCTAGCGGTGAGTGGTAACGGCTCCCGAAGGTAGAAGGAAAAAGCTCTAACTGCAGTCGCACATGGGTAATTAGGCAGCACACCCACATCACTAAACTTAGAAGTTCTGTAATTCTTAAGCTAATCAGTAAATCTTTCAAAATGTCAATGGCTGACAGGAGAAAAGGGAGGCTGCAAAGAGATAATATGTTTTAGTATAATGTAACTTATGCTACCAGAGCCCCAAAGAACACTTCTCTTATCAGCTTCCTACATTCACTCACTGGAAAACCCTTCTTGGTCTCGATCCCATTACAGCTTGTGAAAAATATTAAGGGTTACTGCAGGAAGAGGGTTGTTGAAGGAAAAGTATTTAAAAGCAAGTTATATCCAGTTTCCTGAACTTATGTTTTGAATTTATTAAATATATTTAATATTCCTCCAAATGGATGATCTGAAAGTAATTTGTTAGATGTTCACAAAATGAATCTATTACCCATCCCTTAACCATGGACACACTTGGGGGAGAAGATGAATTCACAGAACTTTATATATGACTCTGATATGTGCTCTCTCCTTTCCTTTTTCTTACTCCTCCTCTATGCATACATCCAGCCCATTATTCCACCACCGTACCTC